GGGATTCCTATTTCGAAGGAACTCGCGTTTATACCCGCTTGTCTCCCATCAGTCATAGGGAAAAGGGGAAAGAATGTCCCAGGTCTTGGAGTTTTAAATATATACGTATGCATGTTAAAGCTACTGTTAAGAGGTCTTTTGAAGCTGAGGCTGATCGGAGAGCAGCAGCTCCCGGCCCCAGTTCTCGCTCTGAAGCGCCGATGCACTGCACTTGAACGCCACAGCCTTTCACCCGAGAAAGAAAATGTTTTATGGCAGAACAAATGGGCGTAACTTCGCCGCATCCTCGCTCTCCCCTCCGCTCGCGCTGCCACACCGCTGATGCTGTGAGTTTCTACGGAGCCCGTCGCTGATTTGCAGTTTACCCATTTCTAGCCGAAATCACATAAGCAGGCTGATGCCATCTGGTAAACTCAAGTTCGAGTAATCTCACATGTGCGCCAGGTTTGCTTCCTATTGGGAAAGCGGCACCCTGGTTACCCTGGAGCCGGTTTACGCGCGGGCGGGCTCAAGGTCTCTACGCTCCAGGGTTCCGCTGCTCACTCCAGGTTTTTGTTGTTTTTGTTTTTGGAACGCAGAAGGGTACGTGTTCCGGGAGGGTGTGAATGTAGGGTTAGAGGTGGGAGAAGGGACAGAAAAGCGGTCTGGTAGTGGAATTAGTTATGAATTTTTATACTCCAACTTTATAATTAGAAACAGTTGCAATGTGATGTATTTGTAGTTCTGTGTCGCTATACGCGCATACACTAACACACACACACTACACTCCTGCCGGCTTTTTCTAGGTGGGAGTTGAGTGGTCCTTTGTAATTAGCTGCTCCTTTTTGCACCCCAACCCCTTTCCCTGGGGGTAAGGGGGTGTAAACAATACCCCCAGCTAGCCGAGCCTCCTGCGCCCAGGACGGTTTTTAAACTCCTAAGGCAGGAGCATACACGTTGTAATTGGGAGACCTACACCATCTGCCTTTATTTTTTTTAAAACAACTTGTTTAATAAAACATTTATTTTTCATTTGTTTTTAAAAGTTGCTGATCAGGAAACAATACACACGTGAATAAATTATGCATGGGCTAAATTAGAACAAAGCGCAGAGGCTCATCAAGCCTAAAGGATGGACGGATGGTGGTGCTGGGAGGAGGGGAGCCGGGAGAATGGTTTGGAGAGCTATGTTTTCACGCTCCTGTGTCCCTTTTGACAATGAAACGTAGCTGAACCACATTAGCATTTTCTCTGTGTGCTTCGGAGTCTCTCTCCCCTAAAAAAAAATTTTTAAAAAATCAGACGCCACTGACGCCCCCTACAGAAACTGGTCACAAAGGTTTCCTTTAGGGTTGGGGAATTAAGTGGTGGTAGGTAATGTTCTGGGAAGAAACAAGATCAGGTTTCATGCAACACCTCTGTAGGGCTCTATCTAGCCTGAGCATGGACCATTTTTCATTTATACTCTCTTTTTCCACGTGGAACATTCAATAATTCAATAGCTCAGGTAACCGGATGGCACAATTCGAATCTCATTGCTTTGGGGTCTTCCTTAGGGGCCCAGGCTCCTGGAACCACATCTCCTCTCAGCAGTTTGGCTTTCTTCCTGCCTGTCTTTGATCTCCCCTCAACTCTCTTTTCTTATCCTTCCTCCTTGTACCCGTCACCCCCCTTCTCTCTGAAGCTGACAGCCTGGCTTCTCTTTCTGTTGTTGCCTTTAACATCTTATTACTGCCCAACAGGGTGTTAGAGGCAGAAACAGGAGCTGCCTGGACTGATCAGATCACAAAGGGGACTCGGCAGGTGGCCACACAACCAAGCAGTCACATCTGGACAAGTAGAATTTAAAAGCATAGATGGACATGTATGAAGTGTAAATGTGTATTACACATTATTTAATTTAGCAGCTACATTGTCTGAGCCTAGATGTGTGAGTCACCCTCATTTATTACACCTACAGCCAAGATAAGGGCTGTGTAAGTGAAGTAATTACACATGTAGGTAACATAAATATGGATTTGATAAAGGTCTGTGTGTAAGTCACATTATATATTGTGTTCCGGAGGATATCTGCATACCTAGGAAACATAATGCTTTTAATATAAATTCTAATCTTACTTGCTATTCTAGTTCAGGTAAACCACCCTGCCCAAATCTTCTGTCAACACTTTGAACAACTTTCTTTTATTAAGTTATCAAAACTCTGGTTTGTATGCACTTAACTGGGAATGTCTGCCACCTTCTGCCAGACTTGATTATGCACATATGAATCTATTATTATAACTGCCAGCTTAAAAAAGAATAACTGTTATTATTATTTAATTATTCCTTGTAAACCAGCAGGGCCTTTACCTCAAGCAACTATTTGTTTGTAAAGAACGAGACCAGTAAACTATTTTCCCATGCTTATAATTGTGAACATACATAATTGTACTGAAACTTTATTTTTGTTAGGCGTTTCGCTTGCTTAGAGGTATTTGTTTATATCTCTGTTAGTTATTAAGGACACAGCTCTGGGGGAAGTAGATATGCTTACTTAGCTAAGGTCAGACAGCAGGTCATGGGTCTAGATGGACCTCAAATCTTCATCTCTATACATTCTGTGATCTGGACACATTGCATTCTAATCTGAAGTGGTTTTGTGCCTGTGAAAGTTGTGTAATTGTCAGCCACTTAGAAGCCAGACCTCGCTCTTGCTGTGGCAGGTTAGATATCAGAGATGAGGGGGTAGTGGGGAGACACATTCCTGGTTCTAATCTCCTCTTAGCTCTTTCTGAATGAGAGTAAGAGGGGAACGTTGGGGTTGGGACTTTGTGACCGCAGCCTTTTATAGACATTATTTTAGCCCCTTATGAAAAAGGACCCTCAGACATTTTAAACCAACAGATGCCTAAGAACTGCCTTCTCCATCTGCTTCTGGTTGCCACTGGAAAAAAAAAAAAAAGCCCTAAATTCTCCAAACTTCATTAGCACACATTATTTTTCAGCTGGAAGAATGTCTGGTTTTGATGAGATACCCATAAAGGAGATTAATTTCTGCCAGAACCCAATTGGAGGTATTGTCACAGAGTAGACCTCTGAAAGTATCCCAGCCTGCAGACCACCTGGGAGACATCCAGAGATCACAGTGGAATGCAGCTGCTCAGATCCACGAGATGGGCTGAAATTCAGAGGCAACTTAATTGGAGACTTCTCATCTCCCTGCCTT